AAAGATGGAAAATGGGAAAGAAAGAAGGAAGAAGGGAAATAGGAGACAGAGAGAGAGAGAGAGAGAGGAGAGGAGAAAGAAAGAGAGACGTATAGAAGGAGGGAAAGAAAAAGAAAGAAAGAGGGAAAGAAAGAAAGAGGGAGGGAAACAGGAGACAGAGAAAAGAGAGAAAGAAAGAGAGACGTATAGAAGGAGGGAAAGAAGGAAGGAAAGAAAGAGGGAAAGAAGGAAGGAAAGAAAGAGGGAAAGAAGGAAGGAAAGAAAGAGGGAAAGAAGGAAGGAAAGAAAGAGGGAAAGAAGGAAGAAAGAAAGAGGGAAAAAGAAGAAGGAAAGAAAGAGGGAAAGAAAGAAAGAAAGAAAGAAAGAAAGAAAGAAAGAAAGAAAGAAAGAAAGAAAGAAAGAGTAAGCTGTAATATATTATATTTTTGTTTTTAGGTTTCATTTTGCCATACCCATTGAATTTGATGCATTTTGGTAGAATCATTCAAATTTTCACCCAAATTTCAGTAAAAAGAAAACTTTAAATGCTGTTAATCACTAACTATATACATCAAATTTTTCCTTAAAGCTGCTGTTTAGACAACAGAGATATTTGACACAAATCACCATAGAAATAATCTAAAACAGATCAAAATGTGCATACAGTTGTGTTAAAATCGTGAAATTTTGGCATTGATATTGAAAGTATGGCTGATCATTCCAAAAAACTGTCTTTTATTTAAGGATAGTGGTCATATGAAGCCATTTATTATCACATAGTTGTTTGGCTCCTTTTAAATCATAATAACAGAAATCACCCAAATGGTATCACAAGTTTCCATCCTCTGGAATGTTTGGCATGGTACAGACACACAAGGTGACACACACGGGTTAAAATGGCAATTAAACATTAATTTCCATCATCTGTGGCTTTTTAAACTGCAATTAGTGTCTGTGTATAGTCAATGAGTTTGTTAAATCTCACGTGGATGACTGGGCTATATACTGAGCCATGGGGAGCAGAAAAGAACTGTCAAAAACCTGCTTAACAAACTAACTAATAGAACTTTATAAAGATGGAAAAGGATATAAAAAGATATCCAATGCCTTGAATATTCCAGTCAGTACTGTTCAATCACCTATTAAGAAGTGGAAAATTTGGGGATCTCTTGATACCAAGACAAGGTCAGGTAGACCAAGAAAGAATGCAGCCACAACTGACAGAAGAATGTATTTATTTATTTCAGGTACTTATATAGCGCCGTCAATTTGCGCAAGAATTGTCCGGGATTCAAAGAAAAACCCACAGGTAACCTCAAGAGAAATACAGGAAAATATGGCATGTTTTTTTTCAAGGAGTACAATAGGACAATACTGGAAAAAAATGAGCTGCATGGTCGAGTTGCCAGAAAGAAGCCTTTACTGCACCAATGCCACAAAAAAGCCTGGTTACAATATGTCCGACACACCTTGATATGCCTCACCTGGCTTTTTTATGGCATTGATGCAGTTACATAGTTACATAGTTAGTCGGGTTGAAAAAAGACAAAAGTCCATCCAGTTCAACCAAAACTAAAGGCTTCTTTCTGGCAACTGGACCATGCAAGCTCGTTTTTGTTCAAGTATTGTCCTATTGTGCTCCTTGAAACATCCACACCGTCTTTTTCCTGTATTTCTCCCTAGGTTATCTGTGGGTTTTTCTTTGTATCCCAAACAATTCTTCTGGCAGTTGTGGCTGTAATCTATCTTGGCCTACCTGACCTTGGCTCGGTATCAAGAGCTCTCCGAATGTATATTATATAGCTTTTGAGCACAGCTGTCTATTGATTCATTTGTATCCCAGTATCTCCTAAATATGCACTAATGTTAAACCAAATACATTTGTTAAACTGATTTTTTCTTCCCCTTTAAAGGTAAATCTCCATGCCACTGTTAGCAAGATTGTGAATTATAATTACATTAAATCAGGGCAGTGTTCTACATTTACACTTTTGATTAACGATCACCCGAAGAATTATAGACCATTAGATAAATGGCCTTATACATGAATTTTAAAATCTGATGTCACGATGAATCACTGAACCACTTGCAAAAAAATGGTCAAAGTAAATTTATTACAAGGAGCCAAAGCAGATGTAATTTATGCCTATTGGCTCATTAGTTGTACAGTATATCATGTTTTAATGTTCAAGATGAAGGGAAAAAAAAAATGTAGATTGCGGTATTGCGTCATGGATCTTGTAATGCTTGACATGGTCAAAACGTGCTCTATATGGCTTGTAATGAAATGGATAAAACCTGAATAATACATATAATACATATAATGAAGCAGCTTTATAACAGATGAAAGTGAAAAAGGCTAATTTCTCTATGCTGTAACAATTATTATTTGCCACAACTCCCATTATGTTCACAACTTGCTGACGTCACGCCGCGGTTGCCGAAGGTCGGAACGGTGGCCATCTTGGTATTCCATTTTACCTTCATTTTTACTTGTTTCCACGTGGATTGTCTTTTATTCATTATTTAACCCCCCTGGCGGTATTCCTGAGTGTAGCTCGGGGTAAAGTTTCAGCACCACAAGCGGTAACCCCGAGCTACACTCGGGAATACCCTGCAGCGTTGCTCTGGGAGTCCCTGCAGCACTTACCTTGTCCTGCGCTCCCGCGATGTCCCCCCTGCAGCGCCCCCGCAATGTCCTCCAGCCGATGACGGCATCCGTCTTCCGGGTTCCGTTCCCTGCGATGTCGGGACGTACGTGGGACAGAACCGGCAGGAAATTTAAAAACGTGAAAAGTAATAATGATTTGTGGGGGAAATTCGTCATCAGACACTGAAAATGATTCTGTGACTTTGCTCAGCGATGTGCAAACTTGGCGCTCTATTTCACATTTCAGTGTTTTTGGTTTGATTACATTATTGAATTAAATTTATTAATATTTTTTATTATTTTTATGATTATTTATTAAATTATAATTTATGATTTCATGTTTCAAATTTTATTATACCCGGAATGTTTACTGGACTCAAAAATGTGAAAAAGTGACATTCACTAAATACACTAAAATCACATAGTATAACATTCCTGTATCAAACCATTTCACATACATTTTGTCCCGAGTGCTTTGTCCGGCGCCCTGCCTGCATTTTTACTGTTCATCCTGCCTGGAAACTGAGAAACGTCCATGGCGTCCAAAAAGCGTCCCTTAGGTCAAAAGCGGTTTTAGACCGGCTAGAGAACAGCGATAGTAAATCAGAACCACTTGCAGAATTGAGTGATAATGATTCGTGGGGGAAATTCCTCATCAGACACTGAAAATGATTTTGCGACTTTGCTCAGCGATGTGCGAACTTGGCGCTATATTTAAACTTCAGTGTTTTTGGTTTGATTATATTATTGAATTAAATTTATTATTATTATATTATTATTTTTATGATTATTTATTAAATTATAATTTATGACTTTAGTGTTTCAAATTTTATCATCCCCGGGATGTTTACTAGACTCTTGTTCGGACAGATTTCAGTGAGTTATTCCTAAAAATTACAGCCTACAAGAAAACAACAACATATTTCCATGAAAAAAAATTTACCGTTTTGATGAAAAAAAATCAAACCGCTAGGGAGGTTAATAAAATGCTACACTATATACTACTTTTGGCTCTTGTGGGGAGTTATTCCTCATAAGAGAGGGTCCACCTGCGTTTTTTTACCTTGGCTGAGCATTCCTTGCAGAGGATTCATTGCTGTTACCTGTACAAAGATGCAGAGGCGTCCCTAGGGTTGGTGTCACCCGTTGCGGTAACACTTGGTGACACCCCCTCCGACGATCCCCGCAGGATGGATGGGATCTGCGGATTGAGCATATTGAATCGGACTCCGATCCATTATGCTCCCCAGTCCGCAGATCCCATCCATCCTGTGGGGATCCTCGGCATGCAACCTATTCGGGGTGACACCGGACCTGCTCCACAAAAAGGTACGTTGTAAAGAAAGCCGAAGATCCCCGCAGGATGGATGGGATCTGCGGACTGGGAAGCATAATGAATCGGACTCCGATCCATTATCCTCAATCCGCAGATCCCATCCATTCTGCAGGGATCGTCGGCTTCCTTTACAACGTACCTTTTTGTGGGGTGGGTCCGGTGTCACCTCGCGCGGTCGGTGTCACCAGGTGCAGGCCGTACCCCCCACACCTGCCTCGGGATACCACTGCCCAGATGAGATGTGCTTACATGCTGTTTACCAGTAGATGTCTGGTGAGTGTACATCTGACAGAGGTGGCGGATTACCTATTGGATCACTTCACAATATTTCACCGTGATTGCCGTACTTATATCCTTGCGGACAATTTATAGCTCTTACTCCACTGATATTTTATAAAAAAATACATATATATACTGTGTGTCTGTATGTGTGCATATATACCGTATTTTTCGCTCCATAAGACGCACCTGACCATAAAACGCACCTAGGTTTTAGAGGCAGAAAACAGGAAAAAAAATTTCTGAACTAATGGACTGCAGACATAGTACAGGAGATGACCAGAGACTGCGGACATAGTACAGGAGATGACCAGAGACTGCGGACATAGTACAGGAGATGACCAGAGACTGCGGACACAGTACAGGAGATGACCAGAGACTGCGGACACAGTACAGGGGATGACCAGAGACTGCGGACACAGTACAGGGGATGACCAGAGACTGCGGACATAGTGCAGGAGATGACCAGAGACTGCGGACATAGTACAGGAGATGACCAGAGACTGCGGACACAGTACAGGAGATGACCAGAGACTGCGGACACAGTACAGGAGATGACCAGAGACTGCGGACACAGTACAGGAGATGACCAGAGACTGCGGACACAGTACAGGAGATGACCAGAGACTGCGGACACAGTACAGGAGATGACCAGAGACTGCGGACACAGTACAGGAGATGACCAGAGACTGCGGACACAGTACAGGACATGACCAGAGACTGCGGACAGTACAGGAGATGACCAGAGACTGCGGACATAGTACAGGAGATGACCAAAGACTGCGGACACAGTACAGGAGATGACCAAAGACTGCAGACAGTACAGGAGATGACCAGAGACTGCAGACACAGTACAGGAGATGACCAGAGACTGCGGACATAGTACAGGGGTAGACCAGAGACTGCGGACAGTACAGGGGATGACCAGAGACTGCAGAGAGTACAGGAGATGACCAGAGACTGCGGACACAGTACAGGAGATGACCAGAGACTGCGGACACAGTACAGGAGATGACCAGAGACTGCGGACATAGTACAGGAGATGACCAGAGACTGCGGACAGTACAGGAGATGACCAGAGACTGCGGACATAGTACAGGAGATGACCAGAGACTGCGGACAGTACAGGAGATGACCAGAGACTGCGGACATAGTACAGGAGATGACCAGAGACTGCGGACAGTACAGATGACCAGAGACTGCGGACAGCACAGGGATGACCAGAGACTGCGGACAGTACAGGGATGACCAGAGACTGCGGACAGTACAGGGATGACCAGAGACTGCGGACAGTACAGGAGATGACCAGAGACTGCGGACACAGTACAGGAGATGACCAGAGACTGCGGACAGTACAGATGACCAGAGACTGCGGACAGTACAGGAGATGACCAGAGACTGCGGACAGTACAGGAGATGACCAGAGACTGCGGACAGTACAGGGATGACCAGAGACTGCGGACAGTACAGGAGATGACTGCTGACCTTTGGGGAGGGGGGAGGGGAGTGGGTACCTGAATTTGACAGGTACCCGCTCTTACTTCCGCGAAGTTGTTCTTTGATCTCACCTGTTCCTCTATCCAGCCGCGCGCTGTCTTCCCGGCTTCTGTAGTGTGGGTGCTCGGCATGACAGCCGGGTGCCCAGTGCGCATGAGTGAGAAGCGCTGCGCTTTGTGATTGGTCCGGCGGCTTCTGGGATCTGTCATGTGTCCCAGGTACCGCCTTACCATTCACAAAGAGCACCGCTTCTTGCGCATGCGCACTTGGGACCCGGCTGTCACGCACACTACAGAAGCCGGGAAGACAGCGCGCGGCTGGATAGAGGAACAGGTAAGGTCCCGCTGCAGAGCTGACACAGCGGCGGTGGAAATACCGGACCGGCCGTCCCATATTCGCTCCATGAGACACACTGACATTTTCCCCCCTTTTGGGGGGAAAAAAGTGCGTCTTATGGAGCGAAAAAATACGGTGTATATATATATATATATATATATACATACATATACGTATACACACACACAGTATATATGTATGTTTATATATGTATATATATATAACCAAGTATCATTTGTGCTGCTAAGTAATTTGTTAATGATAACAAGAAAAGCAGTAAAATAGATCCCCCCACAGCCAGCAGCAATAGACCCCCCCCCCTCCAGCAATAAAAGACTTCCCCCAGCAACAATGGGCCCAAGCAACACAATGCCACCAAGCAACAATAAACACTCGGCAGCCAGCCTCAATAGACTCACCAGCAGCCAGCAACAATAGATCCCTCCTTCAACAGTAGATCCGCAACAATTGATCCCAGCAACAAACACCCCCCCCCCCCCAGCAACATTAGATCCCCGCAGCAAAAATAGACCACCATGCAAAAACAGATCCCCTCCAGAAACAATAGATCTCCCACCAGCCAGCATCAACAGACCCTTCAGCACACTCCAGCACCCCTTACTATTACATAGATTCGGTGTTGGAGGTGCCTGAAGTGCATTCCCTTGCATTCCCGCTAAAAAGCCAGGGGGAGCTAGTTGTTTTTTTTAGATAGAAAATCTGAGTATAAGGGTCAAATTTGGATTTAAAGATCTGGAGATGTCTCTAGAAGTCAGTGGGTGAGGGTGAAGAGGGGCTGATCTGCCTACTTAAGGGATCCTGATCAATCCCAAGGCAGGAGATTAGCATGGGGTCAGGACAGCCCTTAAGTATGACTGAGCCTGCACAGCAGCAGGAGAGTTCGGGTGGAGGATGAAGAGAGAGGCTGAGATACAGAAGCCTGGGAGGGGGCCCAGTGGGAAGGGGCCTACCTCCAGGCAGAGTTGCTGGAAGAGAGGACCACCTGTACAGCAGCAAAGGACTCAGCCCAGCAGAAGGCCTGAGGGCAACCACCAACCCAACACGCTCACAGAAGAGGAAGAGTGAGTACTCTTACACCCTCTGGCCTGGGTAAGGGGAATGGGCATTCAGGTGGGAAACCTGAATTGCCCCCATCTGGGACTGTTTGCTCTAAAGAGATAGAGTATGGGTCCCCTTGCCCAGGGATTCACCCAGTACAGCTGGATGAGGAGAGGATTCATCTGGTCTGGGGTGGTACATCAGGAGAGGCTGGAGAGCTCTCCAGGAAGAAATTCCTTTTTGCTGTATAGAGACTTGTACATAGTTGCTAAGGAGTTGTCCTCAGTTGAAGTTCCCTTACACCCCCTCAACACCATCCAAGTTCAATACCAATAATAAAACTAAAAAAACTCAAGCTCAAGGACTGTTTACTGTCTCCAGAATGCAAGTCTGTGAGGAATGCGTGTTGCCTGGCTGTGCAGGACTATAGGGAGGCCCAAATCTTCAGCAACTCCTAAGGGGGTAGTGCTACATTTACAAGTTCTGTCCCTACATTACCGTGTGACTTTGCAATCTATGAACAATTTCCTCAGTTATATATTGGAACAGACTCTCAACAATGCATCCAATTTATATCTAAACCGGTACATCCTTGCATCACATGACAGAGCTGTTTGCACAATAAGCTGTAACACGTGTAGCTACAGTGAAGGACATAAGTATTTGATCCCCTGCTGATTTTCTAAAAATCGAATGGTAGGTGAATTGTAACACTGAGAGACAGAATAGCAACAAAAAATTCAAAAGAAATTCATGTCTAACAAATTATGCACAGATTTGCATATTCATGAGGAAAATAAGTATTTGATCCAATTCACAAAACATGACTTAGTACTTGGTGGCAAATCCCTTGTTGGCAATCACAGAGGTCAGACGTTTCCCGGAGTTGGCCACCAGGTTTGCACACATCTCAGGAGGGATTTTGGCCCACTCCTCTTGGCAGATCCTCTCCAAGTCATTAAGGTTTGGTGGCTGACGTTTGGCAAGTCGAATATTCAGCTCCTTCCACAGATTTTTGATCAGATTAAGATCTGGAGACTGGCTAGGCCACTCCAGGACCTTAATGTGCTTCTTCTTGAGCCGCTCCTTTGTTGCCTTGGCCGTGTGTTTTGGATCATTGTCATGCTGGAACACCCATCCACGACCCATTTTCAATGCCCTGGCTGAGGGAAGAAAGTTCTCACCCAAGATTGGACGGTACATTGTGCCATCCATCGTCCCTTTGATGCGGTGCAGTTGTCCTGTCCCCTTAGCAGAAAAACACCCCCAAAGCAGAATGTTTCCAGCACCATGTTTGACAGTTGGGATGGTGTTCTTGGTGTCATAGGCAGCATTCCTCCTCCTCCAAACACGGCGAGTTGAGTTGATGCCAAAGAGCTCAATTTTGGTCTCATCTGATCACAACATTTTCAACCAGTCCTCCTCTGTATCATTCAGATGTTCAGTGGCAGACTCAGGCCTGGACTTGTACTTTCTTGAGCAGAGGGACCTTGCGGGCACTGCAAGATTTCAATCCTTGTCGGCGTAGTGTGTTACCAATTGTTTTCTTGGTGACTGTGGTCCCAGCTGCCTGGAGATCATTGACAAGATCCTCACGTGTAGTTCTGGGATGATTCCTCACTGTTCTCATGATCATTGACACTCCACGAGGGGAGATCTTGCATGGTGCACCAGACCTAGGGAGACTGACACTTGTTTTGTGTGTTTCTTCCATTTGCGAATGATTTCACCAACTTTTGTCACCTTCTCACCAAGCTGCTTGGCGATCGTTTGGTAGCCCAGTCCAGCCTTGTGTCTCCCTTTAAGAGACTGCTTCTAATCTTAGCTTGTTACCTGTATGGAAGACACCTGTAGCCAGAAATCCTGCTGAATGATAGGGGATCAAATCCTTATTTCCCTCATGAACATGCAAATCAGTCATTTGCTAGACATGCATTTCTGCTGAATTTGTTGTTGCTATTCTGTCTCTCAGTGTTACAATACACCGAACATTCGATGTTTAGACCGATCATTTCTTTGTGAGTAGGAAAACATTCAAAATCAGCAGGGGATCAAACACTTATTTCCTTCACTGTAGCTTTCAGCATATTTAATTGCTATATCTGTGTGTCATGGGCAGGAGTGGACTGACCATTTGGAAATTCGGGCACTGCCCGAGGACCCGGGGTCAGTAGGGGGCCCCATGAGATGCCCCTGGTACCTTTTTCATAGGCTTTTTTGAGTTTGGGCAAGGACACAGGGGCCCCATGATCCCCTATTGCCTGGGGGCCCCATGAGTTGTCAGTCCACCCCCTGGTCATGGGCATACATGACAGGGACATTTTAAACTTTTACTTCTTTCGAGAACTGTCTCACTCTGCAGTCCTTGAGAATTAACCATGCTACAGCGCCTTAAGATAGGAACGTAATGTTCTGTCTGGTTCCACAAGCCTCGCTGTAATCTACGTTAGTAAATTGGGATTTAATGAGAAAGGGAACACAATTAAAAATCTCTGGAAGCTCACAAAGCTGAAACACTTTTCCAGAGCAGAACAAATTAAGAAACACTTTTCCATTGTCAGGCCGTAGCAATGAATAATTTACGTTTCGGGATTTTGTTGTAATCATGCAGAGGTGGTGTCCTCTTCAATAGGATTGATCCACCCAAGTAGAGACCCATCCTGGATTCAGCCTGTCTGATATCTCCCAGATCTGTTCAGGTCTCACATAGGCAGGGGCGGACTGACCATTTGGAAACTCGGGCACTGCCCGAGGGCCCGGGGTCAGTAGGGGGCCCCATGAGATGCCCCTGGTACCTTTTTCATAGGCTTTTTTGAGTTTGGGCAAGGACACAGGGGACCCAGGATCTCCTATTGCCCGGGGGCCTCATGAGTTGTCAGTCCGCCCCTGCACATAGGCCTACAGCTTATAATTACCCAGAGAAGATGAAGGAAGGGTACAGTTCGCCACCTTCTGTGATGTCATATCTAAAGAGATGGAGCCAGTAAAAGCCCCAATCAATGTTGAAGATGGTTTGCCCATTCATCCATGTGGCTCCTTTATTTCAAATGAGGCCAGGAGTACATCCCAGCTCTTGTAGGCACTAAAAATGCAATGAAAGGAATCTGATCCCAGCTGGTTTCCCGGCAAACAGATAAATACACAAATAGTGTGCTCTGCATTGTAATAGATTCATTGGAGGGCAAGTGAGATGCATGGACCCCTGAT